TTGCAGTGTAGGTCAGACTCTTCTGCAGTCCTGCCAAATTTCATGTTGATTGGGTGCAGCTGTTTTTGTGGTACGGTTGACCAAAAATCTCCTTAGGGGAATGAATGAATGAATGAATGAATGAATGAATGAATGAATGAATGAATGAATGAATGAATGAATGAATAAGCAGTACGAAAACAATATGACTCCCGCTTACGCTTCGCGTGCGGGGGTCATAATAAATTGATATAGATTATAAGAAAACATAAGAAGGAATATTACAGTGATTTATTAAGCAAAGGTAATGGTGATGCAAAAGCAACATGGGGAGTAATGAATAGTGTTTTAAAAAAGCAAAAGGCATGATCAGGTATTTTACAATACTTTGTAAAAGATAATAAGGAACTTTCAATCATTATTATGTTAATGATGGTCCAAGTCTTGCTGCTCAAATACCAAAAGCTGATAATGATGTGACTGAAACAATTAGAATTTGTGCAAACAGCATCTTTCTTGGTAAAACTGATGAGGAAGAAATAATGAGTTTTGTAAAAAAAATATTTGGATATGAGATAAAAAGATTGGGTGGACATGGACATGATGTTTGTTAAGGAAATAATGAGTTATGTTATTAAGCCAATTTATCATTTTTAACAGGAACATTTCCAAACAATATGAAAATATCCAAGGTAATTCCCATTTATAAAAGTGGTGAGAAACTAGTAACTRTAGACCAATATCCTTATTACCACAGTTCTCAAAAATCTTGAAGTTATTTGTGATCAGATTAGACCAATTCATCATTAAAAATAATATCTTAAGTACCAGTCAATATGGATTTAGATCCAATAACGCTACTTCAATGTCTCTCATGGAACTGATAGAACAAATAACAAATGCTGTTGATCAAAAACAATATTGCGCCAGTATTTTTGTTGATTAGAAGAAAGCATTCGACATGACTGACCACAGCAGCCTACTTGAAAAACTAAATAAATATGGGATTAGAGGACCAGCATAACAATGGATATCTAGTAATTTGGAAAAYAGGAAACAGTTTGTACAAGTACATGATGTCAGATCTGAACTATGTGGAATCACATGTGGAGTTCCTCAGGGTTCTGTACTTGGACCAAAATTATTTATCCAATATGTGAACAACTTGGTCAGTTTGTCAGGGCTCTTTAAATGTGTTTTATTTGCTGATGATACAACTTTTTTTGTTTTTTGTAAAGACATAGAACGGATGTTAGAGAAAATGCAAGCAGAATTTGTGAAAATACAAAACTGGTTTAAACTCAACAAATTGTCATTAAACTTGTACAAAACTAATTATACAATATTTACAAAGAGACAAAGAACGTTAACATTTCATTTAAAGTTGGTGGTGTAGAGATTAGTAGTCAGTGAGGTAAAGTTTTGGGTGTTTTTATTGATGAGAAACTGACAAGGAAACCTCATATAAATTACTTAAGAATAAAACTAGCTAAATCTGTTGCATTGTTTTACAAAATAAAGGACTTGTTTAATGATAAAGCTCTGTATATGTTATATAACACATTAATTGTTCCACACTTGGTCTTTTATGTTGAGGTATGGGGTAAAGCATGTAAGACTATTTATTACACATCCTGTTTTTTTATTTTTTTTTAATTTATTTATTTTTTTTTGCAGAAGAGTTATAAGAGTTATCACTCAAACACTACCATTATCCATCTGA